CAGTATGGGAGAATATATTTGTAAATGACATATCCGACAAGGGGTGATCATCCAAAATTTATGAAGAACTCAAATGCCTCAACACCCAAAAGGCAAATAACCCAATTAAAAAATGGGTAGAGGGTATGAAGAGACAATCTCCAACAAAGAAATTCAGATGGCCAACAGACACATGAAAAGATGCTCCACATCACTAATCATCAGAGAAATGCAAATTAAAACCACAAATATGATATCACCTCACACCCGTAAGGATGGCCAGCATTGAAAAGGTTTAGAACAACAAATGCTGGTGAGGATGCAGAGAAAGGGGAACCCTCCTACACTGCTGGTGGGAATGTAAGCTTGTTCAACCATCGTGGAAAGCAGGATGGAGGATCCTCAAAAAACTAAAAATAGAAATACCATTTGACCGAGGAATCCCACTCCTTGGAATTTACCCAAAGAATACAACTTCTCAGATTCAAAAAGACATATGAACCCCTATGTTTATCACAGCACTTTTTACACTAGCCAAGATGTGGAAGCAACCTAAGTGTCCATCAGTAGATGAATGGATAAAGAAGAAGTGGTACATATACACAGTGGAATAGTATTCAGCCATAAGAAAGAAAGAAATCCTACCATTTGCAACAGAATGAATGGAGCTGAAGGACATTGTGCTCAGTAAAATAAGCCAGGCAGAGAAAGACAAATGTCAAATGATTTCCCTCATTTGTGGAGTATAACAATGAAGCAAAACTTAAGGAACCAAATGGCAGTAGACTCAAGAGACTCCAAGAATGAATCAGTAGTTACCAAAGGGGAGGGATGTGGGAGGGCAGGTGGGAAGGGAGGGAGAAGGGGACTGAGCGGCATTATGTTTAGTACACATTGTGTGGGGGATCACAGGGAGAAGAGTGTAGCACAGAGAAGGGACACAGTGAATCTGTGGCATCTTGCTGCACTGATGGACAGTGACTACATTGGTGTATGTGTGGGGACTTGATAATATGGGTAAATGTAGTGACCACATTGTTCTTTCATGTGAAACCTTCATAAGAGTGTATATCAATCATATCTTAATAAAAAATTAAAAAAAAACAAAACCAAAAACCAAAGGAAACTATAATAAAGATACTAAAAATAATAAATGAGCTAGCGAGATCACAGGATACAATTAAAAGTCAATTGTATTTTAATACATTGTCAGCAAAAAGATTGGAAAATGAAAATTACAGAAATAATTCCATTTATACTGGCATCAAAATATTTGGAAATAAGTTTAACAAAGGGTATAGGAGACATTCACTCCGAAAATTACAATATTTGTTGAAAGATAATAAAGAAGACCTAAGTAAATGGAGTTCGTTTAATGGAGTTAATTGATTTGAAGACCTAAAATTGTTAAGGTATCAATTGACACCAAATTGATCTATAGATTCAGTGCAATCCCAGCACAATCCAAGCATGTCCTTTTGTAGAACTTGATTCTAATGTTGATATAAAGGCACAAATGACCTAGAATTCTAAAGAAATCTTGAAAAAGAACAATGTTGGAAGATTTCATTGGCTAACCTCAAGACACACAGTAAAGCCATAGTAACCAAGACAGTGGAACTAGCATAGGATTGATAAACAGATCATTGCAACAGAATGGAGTCCAGAAATACAATCACATGTTGGTAGCAGATCAGTTTTTGACAGAGGTGCCAAAGGAATTCAATGGGGATAGAAAAGTCTTTTCAACAAATGGCCTGGAACAACTGGATATCCATACATGAATAATTCAAACTTGTCTAAAACCATATACAAAATTTAACTCACACTATATCATGAACTAAAATATATCAGCTACATCTATAGAACTTTAGAAAAACAAATATGATATATAATATTTTTATAACTTGGAGCTAAGCAAAGGTTTCATAGGCAGAACTAAGAAAGCAACAACCATAAAAGAAAAAAATGACAAATTAGACGTCATGAAAAGTAAGAACTTCTATCATCAAAAGACATTTAAAAATGAATAGATTACCAAAGATAGGAAAGAACTATTTATGAACATATATCTGACAGAAGGCTGCTATCCACAATATATTAGAAACCTCATAACAAAATAATTAAAAGACAAAAAAAATCAAAAAGTGATCAAAATTTGTCAACATTTGACAAAGGAACAGATACAAATGACCAATAAGCACATGAAAAACTACTCAATTGCTCATAACAAGAAAATTTCTATTAAAATCACAAGAAGACACACTCATGTATCTCATTAGAATCATTAAAATGAAAAAGATTGACCCAACTAAATGTCAGAGAGAATGTGGAGCAGTTGTAATTCTGATATACTGTTAATGGCAATGTAATATGGTACAACCAGATTGGAAGAAGCTCTGGAAATTTTTATGAATATAATCATATGTTTATTTTTGACACTGCAATTCAATTCCTCAGTATTTATCCAAGAGAAATGAAAACACATGTCCAAGAAACACTTGCATAAAATATTTATAGTTGCTTTACTCATATTAGGCAAAGCCTGGAAATAGCTTGGGTTTCCATGAAAAAACAATGGATAAAGGAATTGGTAGTATAGTCATACAATGGAACACTTTATAGCAATGAAGAATGAATCAGTGGTATGTGCACCACCACATACTAATCTAAAAAATATTCTACTCAATAAAAAAAGCTCCATGCCTAGAGTACATACTGTGTGACTTCTTCTGTAGGTTCTATATACAGGAGAATATGTTTTATAGTAAGAAAAAAAAAATCAGAAGAGCTGTTTTCAGTAATGGGTTCGATGGGAATTTACTTGGATGGGGCCTGAGGAAGCTTTCTGGTCTGAGGCTAATGTTTAATATCTTGGAACTTGTCTAGGTTACACAGGTAAATACATGTGTGAGAACTCATCACATGATATGCTTATGACTTATGCATTTTACTGTATGGAAATTTTACCTTTAAAGAAAACAAGGAACCCAATGCAAATATCAGACAATAATCACAGCATGCTGAAATCTAATGAAAACGTATTGGTTTTCAATTTACTGTGAAATGCATCAAAAATGAAGAAGTGTTGATTGATGTGTAGAGAGATGGATGGATATATGATGAGGCAAGTATAGTAAAACAGTCATCGTAAAATCTAGGTAACAGGTACTTGCGGGTTGACTATAAACATCTTCTAACTTTTCTGTATATTTGAAATTTTGTATAATTAAATACTGGGAAAAGCCAATACAATCGCCTTGTTAGTTGTCATTTGCACAATCCATTTCATTAATCAAGTTAAACATAGTTTTCAAAGTATATTTAATCAAAGAGAAAAAGATGTATTTATACATATATATACAAATACACAATATAATCAAAGCGAGAATGTATGCCTGTATATATACACAGAAAATTTACGAGCACTAATTTTTATTTACTTCTTTTGTTATACAGTAGTGATTATTATACATGTATTATATATTTGGTGATATCTTAGATGATTCTGAAAGGTGGTGGTTGATGATTTTCATGGTATCAATACTCCCACTGAAGCAGATTTCAAGTCACTGAAGGCAAAGTTGGGAAGAGATGCTCACAGTTGGTGCTTGTGAGCCTGTGCAAGCCAGTGCCAACATACCTTTGTTCTGACTTCATCCAACAGTTTAGGGATTGTAACGGACTGAACTGTGCCCCGTACAAAATTGAACTGCTAACCCCCAGTGTGAATGTATTTGGAAACAGAACCTTTAGGGAGGTAATTATATTTAATGAGGTCATAAGGGTGGGGCCCTAATCTGAAAGGACTGGTGTGTCCCTGTAAGAAGAGGGAGACGAAGGTTCTTTCTCCACACCTGACAGGTAAAAGCCCATGTGAAGACACAGGGAGAAGGAGGCCACTTTCAAGCCAGGCAGAATGTTCTCACTGCAAACCAACCCTGATGGCACCTTGATCTTGGACTTCTAGCCTCCAAAACTGTAAGAAAATACATTTCTTTGTTAAAGCCATCCAGCCTATGGTATTTTGTTATGACAGGCGTGTCAGAATAATACAGGAATCACGCTTTATTATCTGAAAGAATGATGTAAGGTTGGTATTACTATTTCTGCTTAAATTTTTTTTTGTATCACAGGATTTTGATTGATGAGTTTGGACGCTGATCCTATCACTCTTGAAAACTTTTATATCCCAGTCTAGAAAACTCTTCCCTTTCTACAAGGAAGACAGCCTATATCACACTTTCAAGAGACCCTCGTAGTATGCAAATGCCATATTCCAAGAAAAAGAAAATCAAATGAAAGACTAAAAGAACGTCATGATCCTGCTTGAAAGCACATTTATTGTTGTCTAGACAATTAGCAGTACTTTTTGTCAGATGCTACTGAAGAAGGATTTATACTAATAGTGCTTCACTCTATCTTACACTAAGACGTAAGTGGCTTACTTTCTCTTTAGCTAAAACATTAGCTAAATCACACTGGGGAAATAAAACCCAGAGGCGGAAACTAATTGGAAACATTGCTTTTAGGTAATGAAGCACTTACGCATCCATTTTGTGGATTCATTAAGTTTTAGTTTCGGGAAATTTTTACATAACTCACCTGAAAAACAAATAATTGTGATTGACATATATAATTGCCAAAGTCATCGAATATAGGGCAACTTTGGCAATTCATTTCATTTCAACAATCATTTCAAAATTTTCCTAAATATTGGTGCTCCAAAGATAAAAACGATGAACATGACAATATGCCACTACTTAAGTAGCCTGGAAGAGGAGAAACACAGTTAAGCCTTTACCAGGTGATAAGTGTAATTATGAGGTTTATATCAGGTGTTATAAACAGAATATCTTAATATATTCAATATTGTATAATAATTATGTAATAAAAAATTGATACATTCTTTCTAGATAGAAGACAAAACTATACAGACAGTGGTTTCTCTCTTTCACTCTCTCTCAACTTTTTAAGTACTTTGAAGATAACTGCTGAGAAGGGTCAAAATACCCCTTCAGAGAACTAGAGGAAGTCACATTTGTTCTAAGTCTCACGGCTTGCTCAAGACCAAAGAACAGACATTCTAGGTTAACTATAGAAAGAACCAGTGGGTATCTTCCTTTGGAGAACTCCAGAAACATTACATGGATGGAGAGCACTTCAGCATCCAGTGAGCATATTCAAGGTCAGTGAGTACCATTCTCATAAAAGGAAAAACTGCTATTGGTGAAGCTGTTTTACCAATAATGAAAAGATATGGATTAGACCCCAAAATGTTCAAGAACAATTTTCTCACTTGATAAGTCTAGAGTTTATCATACTCGTTACAAACACAAAGACTGTTTGAAAAGCTGCTATTTTCTATTAGCAAGAACAGCTACATAACGCTGGGTGCAGAGCAAAATACAGAATTTCAGGAGAGCAGAACAGCACATTAAACTGCATGTGGTGCCCAGTGTAACTGCACTTACACTGAAGCCCTTGAAGCCAGTTGGCCAGGGGCAGAATCACTTTAAATATTGGAGCAAGCTAAATATTTGTCATTTCTGTCTGATATGGGAAATCATAACCTTTAGAACATAGCTAATGCAGATCTGAGTCTGAGCTTCATCACTTATCAACTATGGGAATTTGGGCAAGTTATTTCAGTTTCTTCATTGAAATGTCGTCATGCAAATTATACTTCCATTGCAAGTTCCAGCATCACATGAATTAGATGTGTGAATTTCATTCTGGTGAATTCAGAAATAACTGAATGTATTATAAAATAAGAATTAGGAAAAATAGTGACTTTAGAGTCTTTCTATTTGTTTTAGAACAAGAATTACATTAAGACAGTCTTTTGCTTTTCCTTTCTTTCCCCCTCTTAGCCATCAATTTCATCCCTCATCCTAGTTGTAAGCTGCCAATCACAAGTTAGACTCACCATAAAGACTGTTTTAAGATCAGAAATTTTATTATGTAAACAAAAGTTACATACTTAGAGCTAAAAACATAATATTGTGTACATTATAGATTCTACATATTGTATTCTTCATTGTAATCTTTCATCATTAACTTTCTAGTATTCATAGGTAGATTAGTTTAATTTACGTAGTGTTTAACAATTCTAAAGATCTGTTTACTTACATTTTATCTTTCATTTTATACAGAAAAACAGGACTACTGGTTTTTGACTATGGACCACTCTCTTTGGGTGGCCTGGCAACTTCCTTCTCTGTTTCCAGATGCTAGAGAGCTGGCTTTCCAGTACATCATTAAAAACTAGCACCCATCTCAAAGAATCTATTTCCCTGAGCAAGATCACTGTTACGCTCTCTCCATTAAAAAGAAAAAACAGCAGGGGGCAGAGTCCCTCTGCCAGTATCTACTCCCATGGTCCATGCACAACTCTCCAGAAAAATTGCATAAACAAGACTTCTCGAATCTTTTTTCCCCTGCTGACACTCTGACTATAAATTCCCACCTGTATTATGTGATGTTTGCTGCTATGTAACCTGAGACGTTGCAAGGTAACTTTTAAGGTCATTGTGGGATAACAGGGGTATGAATTATTCATCTCATTTTACCAATGAGAAACACAAAGTTAGATGGATGAAGTGAAATGCCCAAGGTCACAAATCTAGTGATCAGAATTGATGTGCATTTGACCTTCCTATTCCAGGATAAGTCATCAGTGACATAGGCTTCCGAAAATCAATAGCTAACACATTACCTATTCTATACTAGATCCTCTCACAAGCACTTTATGTTTACTGAGACATTTAATCCTACAACAGACCTCTAGGACAGGCACCAATATTAGTCCATTTTTACAAAGGAAGAAACTGAAGCAATAGGAAATCTGCTGATTTCCTCAAGGTCTCACTGTCAGTAAATTGCAAAGCTGAGTTCAAATCTAGGTAGTCTGGGTACGAAGTCCATGTTCTTACTCTCTGGCTGTACTTACACTCATGTGCTTGCTGAGGAACCCTTTCCTAGTGCCAGGAGAGTTGTCTGACCATAGCTATTCTTGCACCACATAACGAGTTTATTCTGAGGAAAAAGAAAAGAAGAATCTCCCCATTAGGGGTTAGATGGTTGATGTTTGCAGCATCCCCAGAAGGGCAGGGCTTTTACATATCACTGATGATTTAACCAACCAAGTCACTGGTTAGGGCAGGGCATCGGGCCAAAGGCAGCACAAATGCAGAGAGCTGATGTGATAAGTCAGTAGTCTTTAACTTTCAGATTCATTAAACACTGATGACACATATTTTTTTCTTGTCCCCCACTAGGCATTCAAAGTCAGGCCTGACACCAACAAACGTTTTTGCCCAGGACTCCTAGGTGCTGCAGGAGGTCTAGCACCTCTGGCTCCTGTCCTTTAAATGCCAGCATTGGCCCAATCAAAGTGACAATCACAAATGTTCCCCCACACAGCTTCCATTTGCAATATGAACTCTGAGATGTGGTTCATTCTATGTTGAGAATCACCAGTACGTACCCATGCAGAGCTTTAAGAGGTTATCTTGAATCATGAGCCAGAGGCAATTCACCTGCACCTCATTGGGATGTACCTCCTGTCTTTAAGTGCCTGGCCTTGAAGCAATTCCCATTTCCTGAAGGCATGCCCTGAATTTCTCCTGAACAAGATCTCTATTATTTCACCTTTGTTTCACAAGCCATGCATAAGAGATTGATTCTGAGCTCATCCCTGTTGCTATAGCTTCATCAAGGGCTGAGTCCCAAGAAACAAATATTGGAGACAAAATGTTTGAAATGACCCTGTTAAGGAAAACAGTGAAGTAACAGGAGTGGCTGGGATGGGCTTATCAATGAATAGATTTTTAAAGAAAACTAAGGCAGGAAAACCCACAGAAGTAACAAAAATGAGAGAGCTGGTGAGCAATTCTAAGTCAAAGACCTCAAAGATTGTCAGAAATCAGAGACAGAATACAAATGCCAAGTCCCCAAGGCAGAAGAAACAAGTGTTAAATGAGAAAAGGGATCAAAAGTCATGAAACAGATGGAGTTGGAATTTAAGAGTTAGCAGGCCAGGAACATAACAGTAGAGATGGTCCAGGATGACATGGAGGCTGTTGTGCATTTGGGGCTCATTATTATCGTTCAGCAGTGATGGTTGCGCAACTCTCTGAATATACCCCAAGCCACTGAATAGTACACTTGGAAATGGTGAATTTTGTGGTATGTGAATTATATCTAAATAAATCTGTTTTTTTTAAGTATGTGATTGGCATAGATTAACAAAAAAACAAGAAAGAATGTGACAGTAACTTGCATAATTAGTAATCCCAAATCCTTAAATGTTAACACAAAATGTTGGTAGACCTATAGAACTGAAAGTGAAATAGCATATCCCAGCCATGGCTTCTAGCATCATCACATATCAGGAGATCAAGACATCACATGATGATAGAGAGCAGGAGAGGGGATTACACTTGTTTTCTTGTTCTGAAAGCATGATGCTAGCACCCTCGGGTATATCAATGTGAGGAGTTTATTTTCTAGTCTGAGGTATTCAGTGTTATCAAGACTATCAAAGATACATTCCAAAAGATCATATTTCTATGAATTTAGTGAGATGATTCACATACAACGCTTTTTAATTAATCAATATTTGAAATGTATCCTTGTTCTACAACTATTTCTGGAACACATTTGAGTTGTAGTTGACAATATGTCTCTATTTTCTTTTTCTCAGTGGTATGAAGCTCAGTCATATCTCAATTTACTCAAGCCAATCACTTGAGCAATTCCTTCAAGACTTGGCTCAGGTCTAGCAGAGCACAAATAGATATTAAAATATAAAATAAACATGTAATGGATATTATTAGAACATGTCCAGCTCATGGCTAATTTTATAGTCGATTGTATCATATTTGTTCCTATGTACAAGAACATTGTAAGTTCGTTGAAAATCTCTGCAGGATAAAGGAACAAGAATGTGTAAACATGGTTAAATAAGATAATGGTTTTAAGTTCCTTTTTGGATGTGTGCCAAAGTAAAGGAGAAAAAAATTACCACCCCAGCTGACACTGAAATATTTGATTAAAAAAATATGCATTCAGTCTATTGTTAATTAGTTTTCAGGGTGCATTTTTCAAATGTTTGTGGATCTTAATTAAAACAAGGGAAAAATCAGAAAAATAGAACCAACAGTATGTCCTTGGCCACAGTTCCTATGCTATTGTCCATTTAGTTGGCCCTCATTAAGTGACTACTCAAGAATTCTAGTAAAAGATACTATGCATTTGTCCATTCAAGATACGTATTCAATTCAACCATGTGGCAGCCACAGTGCTAAGAACTGGGGTTATACAGTCTTTATCCCTACTGGGATAGACAACACATGAATCTATCAAGCTAATTGTAACACTGTGTGAGGATGATGATAGGGAGAGGCACTTGGGAGTCCAGAGAAAGAGTATTTAATCCAATGGGGTGAATCCAAGGAGGACTTAGAAAGGCTTTGGGTGTAAAACCTGGGCCAAGCCTCAACTAGGAATTATGCAGGAATACCCAAGTAAAGGGTAAAAAGAAGATCTGGAAGTAGAAGAGGATTTTAGAACAAGGAACACAGGTGACATATAGCATAGTGTATGGGAGTTTGCCAGCAATGTGTTCTAATGAACACAGTGTTGGTGGGAGTGACTGGACAGGCAGAGGGGCCATGTGTGCGTTTTAAGAGGTTGGGCTTTACCTGTCTGTGTTGATGAGGCAGTGAAGGATTTAAACAGGGGACTAATGTGGTTTGAATTGTATTTTGGTTACATCATTATGACTGTGTATAGAATGGAGACAGTTTGAATACCTTAGAGAAATGAAGGAAGAAAAGAGGAAACCTGAGAACTGTTTGGGAAGTAAGATCTATACACATACAACAATTGATTAGAAGTGAGTTAGTTTTGAAATTTTGAAGAAAATTCCTGGTTTCTCGCTAAGTGGATTATTGTGCTACCAATCAAGACAGGGAACGCACAAGAACATGCCTGGGGTAAAATCAGTTTGTTTTGGATCTGTTGAACTTGGGATGTCATTGTCACACCCAGATGAAAAAGTCTAGTAGGCAACTGGTTTGTGAGTCTGCAGCTGAGGACAGAGATCTCTGTGGGAACTAGAGATGTACAAATTTTGAATGCACAGGTAATTGTTGAAAAAAATTAGAGATTCTCTAGTAAGGATTTTCCAAGTAATGGATCTTAGGGAACATGGACATTTAAGGGTTACATGGAAAACATAAGCTGTTCAGGAGGCAAAGAACTGCAAAAATATGAGAACCAGGAGGGTGTGATATTAAGGAGCAGAGTGCCATGGAGGGTCAGTAAAAAAAGACTGAATTGTTTCCATTGAATTTGGAAATACAGAGGTCACTGGTGAACTATGCCAGAATCATTTCCATGGAGAATTAAGAAAGCAAGCCAGATTGCATGTAGTTGAGAAATGAATGGAAAATAAAACAGTAGAAATGCTTTTCAGTTGATAAGAGGAGAAAAGAGACTCCATGGTGGAGAAATAGAGATAAATAGATCATTATTTTTGGATGGTAGGGATAAGCCTAAATTTTGGTTAAGAAGAAAACAGAAAAAATAAGTTGAAGATACAGGAGGTGAATATTGCAAAGGGATAGGAATGGAAAAGACAGAGGGACTGTCAGGGCTGAAGAGAAGGGAGATAAGAAGAAAATAGATGGTGTTTGGTACATGTTCTCAATCCAGAAAAATCTATATGCCCAGGCTCCAGAGGTTGGCACAATGTATTGTCATAAATTGGTTAAATGAAATGGAATCAACCAGACCAGGCTGCCACACCTGAATTTCACATATCCCCAGATTGAACTTGTTTCCTTTGTATTTAATAACACAATCTGGAAATTAACAATGAATTGAACTGTCTCTCTGTCTGGCATTTGTGTGTGTGTTTGTGTGTGCGTTTTTACCTGGCAGAGCAGCTCACTGTCTTCTGTGTTGTTTCAGTCTTCATATATGTAAGGATCATTTTCACAATCAGAAAATTACTGACAATATTTCCATTATTAAATAACAAGAATCGATGGGCTAGGGAAGGTAGAGAAAAATATTGGATTAAATTCAGTGGGTAGAAAAATGTACAGAGTTTCCTGTAACATTAACCCCGAAAGCACTAAACCCACAGGTAACATACACTTAATCAGGAAAAGTACGTATAAACATTGAAAGTAAACAAATTCTAAATACTGAAAATAACCAGACCTACTTTTTAAAATGTTGTCATTTTGCATTATTTTTAGACCCCATAAACAAATCCATTTCTGACAGCCTTATGTCCCTAAGACTTAAAACTCTTCACAGTATAGATGTGATAGGAATAAATACACTGTAAGGACTGAACAAAAGAAGAGTAGAAAATAGATTAGCAAACATTTAATAATTGTCATATCTTTCTATCAATGACAGTTGCTGACAACTGAGTTGCTGACAAACTAAAATTTGAAAGCTAATCTACATAGTTTGCAATTTTTTATTGTTTGGAATCATTTAAAAAATATTCAATAGCCTTGTTACTATGAACTATATATCAAATTACATTTTCAAGAATTTCCTGGGCTATTCTTGGGCATTTATTTTTCCCACATAATTGAAGATCATTTTAATCAATTTTTTAAAAATGTTGAGAGTGTTTTGTATTAACATATTAATTTTATCGATTTTTAAAATCTCAACTCTTCCCATTCAAAAAACATTGCTTTCAGTTCCTATATTTTAAAACAATCATTAAAATTTCAGTCTTTATGAAGGCCCAGTCTACTTCTTGTTAAATATTTCTTATTAAATTTATTCTTAAATTTCAAAGTTGTCTCTATCATGCATGGAAATTTTTTTTTTTTTACTCTTTCCTTTTCTAGGATTGATGGAGAGATAATATTGCTTGGGAGAAGCAGATAATATATTTAATAAATGCATTCATAAATCTAAGAACTTAAAATAGGTATGTTACATCATATTTGAGAAAAACAGAGGGTGCAACAATTGCCAAGTTCCTGAGGTGGGAGCGTGACTCTGACTTAAGAATCTAAGAGGCCAGTATGGCTGGAGTGAGAGAGGAATGGGAGATGAAGTCAGAGTTACTAGACCATAGAAGTCATTGTAAGGTCTTTGGTGTTGACTGGTAGAATAAAAGCAAGCAAGTCGGTGTTCTTTAATAAGCTACTGCCAGAAAACCTCTCGATGACCAGTGCACACCTATTCACTTATCCACAGAGCAGGAGGGATCAGTGCATGATTCAGTTTCTTCTCGGCTTTAGTACATGAACCCTGGCTTCCAGGGATTTATCTGCCCAAGTTCATAGTTCTGCATCAGTTCCACATCATGGCCACCCAGGAACACTATACCTCACTGGTACACAGGCTCCCGTGGGCAGCAGCATGCATCTGACTCAGGAAGAATACACACACGAGAGTTGGTGGTAGAAGGAAGGGAGCTATCTTCCAGTCATCACCTTCCAAGAATCTCCTGCTCCAGAATGCAAAACCATATTTGTTTTGGTCCAATTTCACAATGTCTCTTCATTTTCACCTTCCCATGTCTCAAAGCAAGTAATAAAGTAAAATGTCACAGATTAAAAGGAAACAGTCTCTGTATCCCAACACATAGCATTTCTTACAAGTATTTATTTGATATCTTTATCACGAATTTTGTGTAATAGATGATATTGTTCAATAAAGCATAATTTACTGCTGGTAAACCACCAACCCAAAGTCTTAGCTATGTTGTGTTCAACTACAAAACTGTAGTTGAACTCTTACAGGATAGCTATCCAGTTATCAAATTACACTTAATCATAACAACTAATATCTTTTCAGCGCTTCTTATTTGCTATTTATTTTGCTAAATCTGTTATGCATATAGTTACCTCAATCCTCAACCAACCCAGTGTAGGAGACATTGCTGATATTTTATTATTACAGAGGAGGACTTATACACAGGCACACACGTCAAGTGGCACACTTGGTCTTGTCTGATTCCAAATCCAGGAGACCTAATGTCTACTCACTGTTTAAAAACCCACCCCAAATGGTAGAAGTACCCAAATCTAATAGAAACAGAACATTGCAAAGATGTAAAGCTGTGTTATAAACTCATCCATTCCAGTCATCTTGTTGAGACAGCAGAGCAGAGCAGATCACGACTTTTCAGCGAACATCCTACAGCTTTCAACAGAGTTGTGCAGGAACAGCTGTCTGCTCTAACCTTTGCCAGGATACTGAAGACCAAGAATTACATTTAGCTTCAGAGCACCCTGTCTCTTAGAGTTACAGATCTAAATTGACAGCATTAGCTGAGCCTCTGCTTTTCAGTCTGCCTCCTGAACATAAAAGGGTATTACTTTGAATAAAAGAGTAACAAAGAGCAAGAAAGTGAATGTACTGTACTCAACTTTTCAAATGTGAACTAACATGACTGGCATAATTTACTATCATCGTCACTATCAACAGCAGCAGCAGCATTATCAAAATCATCATTACCAGTATTTCCAGACAAACTTTGCATGGTCCAAGTGTTGAGTATGATCGCTTGTACTAAAAAGTGAACCTCTCTTGTCTTCCCTTCTCAGATACATTTCTGGGGGCTGTACATTGTACTGGAAAGGCACCCTTTGTGATTGCTCACAGATAACCCTCTAAGCTTTTGTAGAGCTCTAGTGATTAGAAAGTAATATATCAAATGAAAACCTGTTGTCCTTTCCTGAAAATTCTATTCCTTGTTTTCAGCTCCAAAACACAAAGGTGCAAAGTTACTTCTAAGTAGTTCAAATACTCCACTGCCGGCCTTCCCACGTGAAGGCAAACTGTCCCTGACTTTCCTGTGCTGTATCAATACAGAAAAAAGCATTAGCAGTTTCCACAACATAATGATATGTCCCTTGTTCACGACTGAGGGTGTCCATAGGGCTCCTATAGGGGGGACAGCAGCATGCAAAGGGGGTGTCACTTTATTCAATTCCCTGTAATCCGCAGTCATACACCAAGAGCCATCTGGCTTTTTCATGGGCTATTAAAAGGACTATGAGTGGGCTTTAAGGTGCCCACATTCTCTAACTCTTGTAGAGTTTCTCCAATTCCCTTGTATCCCCCAGGCAATTTATACATCTCCCCTACCATCTCCAGGGCTGAAGGCACCACTCTTTCCCCGCGCCTCCCCGATGGCCTCCTGCGGCACAGATTCCCCTTCTGCCTCCTCCCTCGCTGCTAACATATCTTCCAGGAGCATAACCTGTCTTCTCAATAACTGTCTCTCTTTCTTAAGGGCATCCCGTAGGTCATCGCCCAGCTCCTCCAAGTGATGCCAAAGTGTATCTCTCTCTTGCTGAAGTGTGTCTTTCTTCTAGATAACCCTTTCCACTATCTTGAGAAACAAACATCCCACAATCTAGCTGCTACATGGCCACTCAGGGCCTCTAAGCAGTCTTTTATCTCACAGAGGGCTAATTCCACAGCTTCTGGTGTCTCCATTCTTCCCCAATTCTGGGGAAGGCCCCACCCATCTAGTAGGTGCTTTACCCTAGACCAATTCCCCACTAGGGGTTCTCCAAGTGGAAGCCCCATGGACAGTGGGTTCCCAGGTAAAGCTGCACCCTCCACCAGTGACAGAGGTAAGGGTGAGTCAGTCAGTTGTCACAGCCCACCGCAGGGGCCTCCCCAACATCCACAGGGGAATTTCCAGGTATCTCCCCACCATCTCTAGGTGCAGCCTGCCCATGTGTCACACTCATGAATAGAGATTTCAGATTCAGAGGTCCTGCTGACTACTACCAGGTGTAACTCTGGGGCGAAAATATGTTCCCGGCCCGGCGCAAATTACCTTTGAAGCAGAAATCAGCCAAAGGGAGAAATAAGGTGGAAGAAACTCATTTGTTGCCTACAAACAGTTGTCCACTTTTGCTCACCTGCGTCTTTCGTGACCTGGCTGAAAAAGGGACCCCAGCCAACCTCTCTGGTCCAGATATGCCCTCACTTCCCCTTATAATCACCTATTGATATGGAGGTGGGCCACTTCTCTTCACCTCTTAGAAGCATCTATTGATACAGAGATACACTAAGGCCAGGTGAGACAATCTGGAAATACTGCACTTTTACCCACAAGCAGTATGTTTCACAAGACATGAATTGCTCTTGACTTTTTTGGGGTTTTTCATATGGTCACTGTGGATGTTTGCATTCATAAATTCAGTTTCTTGATCATTCTCAATCTAAAACAAAGGTAATAAATAATATATTTTGCTGTATTTCTGGCATTTTTTATTGTTCTATCAATATAACACTATTTCTGTATTTGGATACTGTCTTGGGAAATCTTACTGAGACACAATGAGCTTTTAAAAATGCATACTACCAAAAACACACATACAAAGTAAAATGGTAAATTCCAGAACTCCATTCCCATATGCCTTGCTCTGTTCAAACTTCTCCCATTGTGGAGCACTGCCAAGTAATCTTCAGAGCTTAATCTAGTTTACTTCTGTCTAGTTATGATTCTTTGTAAGGTCAGAGACATTCAGACTCTCCCAGTTCCTGTCAATGAACTGACTTCCTCCTCATGGCCCACCAAAGACCTGAACCCCATTAGTTGGAAAAAAGCTTTTTTTTCCCTAACAAGGGTAATTATCGAATGGCATTTTCCTCTGAACGTCAGAACACGAGCAACTCTGCTCCCCTCTCCCTTTTTCCTGGCATCCCTCCAACATCAAACTGACCTCCTCCAATCCTGGGGAAAAGAAAGCAAAATGCCTGGGCCGGCGAATGAGTGTTTCCAGCCAGCATTGCGTTGCCAAGGCCCATTCTCCAAGCCGGGGGCCTGGGGCTGGGAGCACAGGCGAGTCGGCCGGGCTCTTGGGGAGCAGCTGTCTTTCTCTTTTCCAAACTCAACAAAACCCTTCCTCACAGGCTCTGGAACCTGCCTCTGGAACCCGAGGTAACTGCCCACTAGCTCCTACCCGTGTCCTCACCTCCCCATTAGAGCTGCGACAACTTTTCCCTCATTTCCGCCTCCCCCTCATTTGCATCCGGAGGCCCAGGCCACGGGGTCGCGACGCCTCTGGGACCAGCGAACCTGAGCGGCGGGGCGCGCCCCCGGGGAAGGAGGGTCCGGGCAGGCCTGGCCACGCCCCTGCGCCCCGCGCCGCCCCGCCCCTGGCCGCTCTATTTTGTTTTCAATTTGAGAAGTCCTCGTCATCCTTCCCTGTCTGTCCGCCCTCTTTTCCTTCTCTTTGCTCGCGGATGAAATCAGAACCCCCGGCCTGGCCTCGCGGGGGTCGAGGGACCGCGGGCTGGGCGGTGAGCGGGGTCCGGGCGGCACTGGCGGCCGAGCTGCGCCGCGAGGCGGGCGCCCTGGGCTCGCAGGTGGTGGCCGAAGTTGCGGGCGCCTGGCGCTCGCGTCTGCGGAGGAGACGCGGGGGTCCCGCAGCGAGCTGCTCCCAGCGGGGCCTGGGCGTCGGGCCCCCCGAATCTCAGCGTCCGTGGCAGGGGAGACGGGTCCGCCCGAGGGACCGCGCCCGTGCAGAGCGGCTGCGCTTCCCGCCCGCTGCCGCGCTTTCAGCCTCCTGCGGGCTGCTGGCGCGTTGCACCGGGCCGGCCTCGCCCCCGCGCGTCCCTGACCCGGGCCTGGTCCCGCTCACCGGGCCCCTCCTGTGTGTCACAGGCCTTCCCTTGGCGCATTTCCACGGACTCGGGCCAGGCCGACTCTCAGGTAAAGGGTTTACAGCAACTTCTTTCTGTGCTTGGCAGGCAGAAGGGGGAGAGGGTGCAGGAGGAAACCCATCCGTGTAGCAATGCGGGCAGACTGGGAGATGTATTTATTTGGGGGTGAACTTGCTTTGTTTCCATAAAATAAAAAGTGTATATTTCAAGACTTAAGATTTTTCTTTTATTTATTCTCTGGTCTTGCTTATCTTCTGTTAGGTACTGCAGTTCAGTTGAGTTTTCAGTTTTATGCTTCATATGTTAAAATGTATCCACCAAAACTACTACGGAATATTATAATATGTAATAAGGTTGATTGCCGCCCGAGTAATGTTTTGAATTGGGTGTTGTTTCCGTTAGAAGTAGAAAGATAGCCTCCATCTATTTTACTATCAGGGTTAATCTTGAGGCACTAGCATCCGATCCATTAAATTTGGAAAAGCCACATATTCTCATCACCCTCTATGACGTTATGAATTGCTTAGGCCCGTGACATTAGGGAGTAGAGTACATTAACATTCTGATTAGATTTAAAAAACACAAAATTATCACTTTTTATCCATAAGGGATTGGATACCTTGAATGCCTACGGGAAACACCTGAAAATCTCACAGAAAAAAATAAGAAAATTTAGTAAACTGTCCAGTTGCCTCTATTAATGATTTATAGATATCAGTAGATGTGATATACATTAACTAGAAAATACAGTAGAATAAAATAAACTATTCAATTTGGTCTGATAAAACACAAAATTGAAAAACCTATTTAAAAAAAGACAACATATGAAAATGTTGGGAAGGAAGGTACTTGGTGTCTCAGGGAAGTCAGATACAGTGAGACGAGAGACCAAAGTCAAAAAAGCAAAGTCAGTTTTAATACACTCTGCATAGAGTAGCAGAGCGGGCCTGCCTGAGATAAGACAGGCAGGCCTGGATTCTCATTCTGAGGCTTCTTTTATGTGGTTTTGTCAGGGCAGAGAGGTCCTTGATTGACAGCTGTCAGCTCTCTAGGCTTGTTCTGATTGGTGAAATGAGGACAGGACTGTGCTGTGCCTGTGCTTCTGATGTTTGTTATCTGGGGGGGCCCTGGACATTTCCTGAGTCACTCTTGGACCCTGTGGCTTCATCTGATTAACTCTCTGAGTCATTTCTGGCTTTCTGGTTGTATTTGATCAACTACCTGAGTCATCTTTGGGGAACCCTTTCTCCTTTTCATCCCTCTCATTTCTATCTTTGTGCCTAACAAAAATACATGAAGTGTATAAAATTTATAGGTAAAAAACACAATAAGATATATAACATTTTGCTACAGAAAGAAACTATTTCTCTAAAAGAATATACAAATTAAATAAATTCCTAACTGAAATTTTTTGTTTTTAAAGCCACTGTTTAGCTCATGTGGAAAAACATTTAGCAGGAAGATTTCAATTAAAAGAAAAATGTACAAATATACATATGGGGACTTTACTACATAATAAAGGCTATTACAAAGCGATAGTGAGCAGATGAATCAGTGAAACTGAAGAGGGATTTAGGAATAAAAGGAAAGCTGACATTTGATAACCATACATTTTAAATCTGGGTGGGGACATTTAATTGATCATGCTTGGACAATCAGGCATTTATTTGGGAAAACTAATAATAAAACTGGAACTTTACTTCAGTCTTAACATACAAATGCAATCTAAATGATTTACTAATTTAAATCTAAGTATATGAAACCGAAAAGTAGAAGATAAAACCTGAATGATAGGTGTGAGCACGGCATGTTGGGAAAGCAATTTTGAAGTTGATGCAAAAACCAAAAGCCCATTTAGGGACATGATTCTTACTAACGTTTGCTTGCAAAAAACAGATACAAATGGAAATTGTTAACAGAAAGAGAGCTAATTTTAATAATAATTATATATTACTCACCTTTAGATGTACCATAAATTATGTAATCAAAATGTATCTCTAAATGTTCTTACATGGAAATCTCCTCAAAGTGTACGTTGAAACACAAAAACTTAAGTTGAAATCCTTGTATATTACATATACACACATATATATAATGTATATTTTATATGTACAATAACATTTTTGTAAATAATTTATAGACTGAATTATATGCATTCATATTCTGTTGCCCAGTTCTATAACATGAATGGTTATAAGGAAAAAAGTGATGTTGTAATGTGAAAGAAAATAATAAATAATAAAGATTCTGAGAGTATAATTAGTAATTTATACAGAATAATTCTTTTCTGAGTATATTAGTTGTAATTCTCTGTAGAAAGAAAAATATTTTCTAAAAATTTTCCATATTGTTCTTCTCTTCAATTACTTTCTCCTTGAATGTCCTCTTTCAGCTTCTTTGTTTGAAAATCCTGTCCTATATCTCTTTCCTTAATATTGTTTGTTGTGACGTTTCTTATAGGCACACAACTGAAAAGTTTTGCCTAAGGGATTTCACAACCTGTTAACTTTTTTGTAAACAGAAAATACTGGAAATGTTCATTCTCTATATGTAGCAAAAGGAAAACATTTAAAATTGAACTACAGGAAAAAAAGCATGCATATCAAAACTGCAGTAAAAATAAATGTTAAATTTTGAAAAACATTCTTAAAATTTTTCATGTAAATGATACAAAAAGAAAGCAAAAAGAACTAGCAAACAGAAAAATGGACAAATGACAAACAGGGAGTTTACAAGAATGGAGATGTAAATAACTTAAATATGTAAGAAAAAACTTCAACTTCATTATAAGACATGGAAAACAAAACTAAAATGTTTTGACCTTTCAGATTGGCAATGACAAAAATATTGGTAGAACATCATATTAAGAATGTAACATCTTTGTCTGATATGTGAATTGATTCAAATTCTTGGGAGTGATTTGACAATGTATGTCAAAGTAAAAATCCACAGAACTTTGATCCAGCAATTCTGCTTCCATGAATTTAATACACAGGTCTACAAAGAAGTATACGTAAGTGTTTTTCAGCATTGTTTGTAATAGCAAACATTTAGGAACAGTTTAAATTACCATCATTAAGTGCCAGTTAAATAAATAATGACGCAGCAGCCATTTAAAAGAATAAGGTACATAAGCTGCAGTGAAATCAACACTAAGGCATTCTAACAAATGAAAAAGCACGATACAAAAAGGTATATAGCAGGCTGCCATTTGTATTAAAAAGCAAATTTATTAGTTTGTGTACACGTAGAAAATCTCTTGGAAGACACAAAAGATTTATCTGTGGCTGTATTTTAAGATGAGAAATGGGTTGTAGGTAGGAGGGATTCTTAATTTTCATGGAAAAAAATGTAATGCTCAATGACCTGATTTATTCCAGTGTTTGCAGATAACACCTATTTAAAAATATCTGTCATTATAAATGTAATGTTTCTTATGAAAATGATTTTATTATAGGTCATATGACATCCTGTTTTGTTATAGTTTTTTAATACTAGAGGACTAGCCAGAAAATGACACGATTAGGCACAAACTGGTAATCTACCAAATAACATATTTGGCATGGTAATGTTTCCTTAAATGAATTATATAAAATCATGATAATATTATTCTTTCAATATTTTTTGTACTCCAAATAACAAATACAATGCCCCCTTGAAAGCTAAAATGGAGAGAACTGATCATCCCTTTAAATAATGAAAACAAATCTGTTTAAGAAAGTTATCTAGGATCACGGCAAGGTGGCAGCATGACAGTTCAGAGGAAATCTCCTCCCCAAAACATATATTTATGAAAATATAATAAATACAACTCTTCCTAAAAGAGACACTGGCAGTACAACAGCCAGGGTACATCTACATCTGTGAGAACTCAACATCACATGAAGGGGGTAAGATACAAGCCGCGGCAAGGTGGGTCCTGAATGTTCCCCCACCCCAGAATCCGGCAGGAAGAAAGGAGTTGGAACGGGAAGGGAGTGAAAGCCCAGGACTGCTAAACAACCAGCTCTAGAAATCCGCACCCGGAGCGCAGACACAAGGTGTACGGGGTGCTGGATATTAGAGGAATGGCAAAGCAAAATCTGTGGGCAGGTCCCTGCAACTGGAGCCCCTTAGACAAAAGAAAAGCGAGTGCTTTCTGCAAGTCTTAAAGAGACATGGACCCCATAGCTGGATGAAGTCGTCCCGGCACACTTAGCCAGCAGCTGGGAATCCTGGGGAACCTTAGGCGCCCTAAACTCTGGGAAGCAGTGCAGCTCTGAAGCCCCTCATGGC